TTTCTTAAAACCGTTCTTGAGGCAGGGGCTCAAAAATTGGCCTCATCCCATCCACAATGTTCAAGAATGCCAGAATGCAATTTTCATTGATGTTTCTTATAAAGAATTTTTTACAGTAAAATTTCACATGTGGCTTGGCCAAGCCATGTAAATATAGCAAAGTTTTCAAATAATGATAGATTGTAGGTTGAACGCTAAAGTGCATGGACACATATCAGGCAGTCGGACAAACAATCTTAAACCGATTTAAAAAAACAGTTCTCAATCTGTCGTTATAAGTTCGAGTTCTCTTGATGGTTGCGTACATTCGCACAAAACGTACGGCAAGTAACGTAGGGTATAAAACTCTTGCTCGAAACTTCAGGTACATGTTAACGTAGAACATTTGTCGGCTCCGTATTCTCTACAAATTTATTTTTTATTTCTTTAAAATTCAGAGTCAGTCAGAGAGGATCTTGCTGTTGTCCCCATAATTGAATTCATAATAGAAAGTGATTAACGCTAATCTCTGTAAACAATTTAAGATTAAGTTTTATTCGAGTTTAACTTTGAGTTTTAATAAACATTTACATTTTGCACTTTGTTAAATTTCACTTTACTGTGTACCTTTTGGACCTACGGCAAATTTTTGTTTCATTTGATTTCCAAACCATTACTGTTTGTTAATGATGTGAAAAAAAATTAAATAATTATTTGTTAAAAATTATTGCGGCTTAGTTTTTAAAAAAGAAAAAAACCCTTTTTTCTAATTTTTCTGTTTTCAATTTTTAACTGTTATCGCAAATGACTCGATGATGATTTGCAAGAGAACGCGTTCTAATTTCAATTCATAAATAAATTTCTTTCAGGTATCCTCAGAAATGTTTGTAAGATTCAACTGAAACGTAGATTGATTGACTTCTTAAATCTTCTACTCAGCTATTGCTTTCATTGTATCCTAATGGGTGCTGGGTATGTTAAGTTTGCGCATACGCAAGTAACATTCAGAAGAACATAAGATGAGCCCACCTTTTATTAAACTTTCCTGTCCGTTCGTCTGCAAGTGCGTCTGAGGTTTATCCTTGTATTTTTGTGTTCTACGGCCACATCTCAATTTTTAAGATATTTTGTTGAAGTTTGGTACATTGACTCCGTTCTGGCTCAAGGACCAACACTATTGAAAATTGTTTGAATCGGTCGACTTTCCGTTCTCTCCAAAGTTACCCGACAAAAGTCGTTGAGTAAAAGCATTTCAACATTCTGAATTACTATGAAAAATTTGGTTCGCCAGGGGCAAATTTTATAAAACCCAGGCATGATTATTCCTACGAAAACGGAACCTTTTTATGGTGGAACGGTATAATTCATAGTAGTAAATGCACGAATTTAGAACGTGTGAGTTGATTTTTCGGATACCCCTTATAAGACTTCTCGGGAAGTAGAGGCCTTAATTGCCAAAAACGCCCAATTGTCAATATTCCATAATGAAAATTTGTTGTGTGGAGCAAATTTGAATCACTTGGGTCTGCTTCTGGGACCTCACTCCATGTAAAAATTCTTATGAGTAATACGCCATTCATAAAAAGCAAGCCATTATGTGGAAAGGAAGTCTTACTTCCACATTTGTATGATGGAAACTGAAAAATAATAAAATCTTTGGAGAGCACATTGAGCTTGTAAACTTTGAATGGCGTCTTGTGATGTTTTGGGCATCTTCCAACAAGCGGGCTTTAATGAAAAGAATGCCTTTGCCCGAAAATAATGTGTGGTTTATGGTGTAGGGGAAGCGGTGCAAGGTATCTAACGAGCTGTCTTGCCCGACTATAATATCCTTAATTGTTTGTTCTGACTTCATTTCAGTGATGGAAAGCTAAAAACGGATCTCTCTAAATTTGCGAAGAATATCACGTGAAAGACGTTACCACAGCATCGACTCTTTAATGCCAATGCTTTTTTCATATCTCCTCATATAATTGCTTTTATTAAGAATGCCATTCTTCTCCTAATAGTTTTCCTCAAATTCTATACTTACATGAAGTTTCGTTTAGGCACAAATTTTTAAATCAAACAAATGACGCAAGTAAAAGGACGGCCCACCATTACACATTCTACAACATTTCTCTCAATATTGTTAAGCATGTAACGAGTTTTCAAAGTAAGGGGTTATATGAAAAGTGGTCGAGAAGGTGATCCGATCCGAACTGTTTTCAATAGTGCTCGTCTTTGGACCAAACCGTGTCAGAGCACGAAATTTCCTTAAAATATCTCAAAATTGCGATCTGTGGGTTGAAAACAAGAAAACAAGACAGACAGACAGACGGACAAACAAGCTTCGAATCACTTCTGAATCGATCGATATAATAAAAGGTTGGTCCGGGTCCAAGCCAAGTTCGTCTGGATATTACATACACATGCATAAACTGAATATGCTTCGGTACCATAAATAAATGGTGTACAGGGTATAAAAATAAAACAAAATGAAAGCCTAACATCCATTAATTGTTGCTTGTTCCAAAGTTCCAAATATATCGCTTTTATGCACCTGATAATGCTGCAAATCGCTTAGTTATACGTTTTTGTTTATTTATTTTTTTTAATTAAGTTAATGAGTTTATTGGGTAAAACGAATTTATTCGTTACGCTCTTACGTAATTTCAAGTTTTTTTGATGTAGTTTCAACTTAAGTTTTATTTTAATTTATTTATTTTTTCCTTTTTTGGGGTCCGTAAGTTAACGCATCATTTAACTTGTTTATCTCTTAAAGGCTCTATCTGCACGTGAAAGTAATTTCCATTAAAATGAATTGCCTTGAGTTTCTTAAATTTACAGAAATATATCTCTTCTTCTTTTTATATATATATATATATATATAAATTTTGTGAATTTTTTTTTTCTTTTTTCATTTTCTTTATAAATATATTTTCGTAATTCTTTTTTTTTTTCGTGTAGCATTACATTGGAAGAGTGAGAACGGAATTAAATTTGGTTGCAGACGAATCTCTTGATGCCTAACCATTGCCTATTGTTTAAACTAAGACATAAAAAGTTGAATTTGTTTATACGAATGTACATTATTTTAAAATTGTGGATATAAAAGAAAATTTAGGAGAAGAAGAAGAAGAAGAAGAAAGACTTTGAATAAGGTCTGCTTCTTCCTAAAATAATTTTAAAGCTTTTGTGTGCCATATATGTGTAGACCGATTTACGAAATATTCTTAGATACCCTTATACGACAGTTTTCTCTGCAGTAACTTGTGCGTTCTTATCTTCTGTGAAAGTGAAAACGGAAACGATAGATAATTAATTAATTCTAAATTTGTGCTTTAAGTGCTCTGGCCAAGCTTCAGGCAGACTTCAATAACATATGGGTCCGATTGAAGAAATACGCGCGACGAGAAACGAGCATTCTCATGGACTTATGTTAACGAAAAGGTAACGTCGCCGAAATTTCTTTATGCCATGTGCAGGCACAATAACAAAATTTGTGAACTCATATTCTTGGCAAGCACGTTATAAAGAGACTAATCTGTATATGTGAGTAAGTGTACCCCACTTTCGTGATACAATAAATTACAAGCGTACATATTTACATATATTTAGTAAAAAGATGAAATAATTCTCGCCCACACTCTTAATCCATGTTGTGAATGTGAAGCTTGTTCTTTTTGAAAAGTTAATGTAACTAAAAGCTAGATTAGACGTTTACGCTTACGTGGTAAGCGTACAACATGCTATTCATTGTTACCATTCACACACATGGACCCGCATACTCATTCAGTCGCGTCCGCACACATACATCTATCATGTATCTATACATATCGACATTTAATAAAGGACAGAAGGACTGAACACGAAACGAATGTTACCCTTGTTTGCTTAAATTTAAATATGATTTTCATATGTCATATATAAATCACGTTGCCCCTTCACCTGCAGGCAAAAAGGCATATATAAGCTTTCTCTGATATTTTTAAATAGTGGTACGTATCACTTACGATAGTATAAGTTGAATGGCAAATGCGTGTGTTTAGGGATCAAAGAATTGCGTTTCTCTTCTCTTCTTTTTTTTTTTTTGACACAAAAATTAATGAAAGCTTCCCATGTTTAAGATTGTGTTAGTGATTTGCACCGTCAACATTTTAAAAGCTAAAACTCACTCGTCTTTGTACGATCGACTTGAGAGGGTAGCTGATCAGATAGCTGCCATTCGGAAGGCAAAGTTCGAGCCTGCGTTGATGATCAAGTCTCATGGACAATTATCAGATTGGCGTCCACAATGTCAAAATCTTTCTGAATCAAAGCCACCCACTGATAATGTATTGCAGACGTCATTTTGACATTGGTGAGCTTAGCATGTCGTCAAAACTAGTAGGTAGTGAAAGGAAGGGATTTTCTTGACAATCGGTAATAACTGTTATTGATCTCGGATTATGTCAATTTTAACACGGAAGTCTCCGGCACACCTTGCGTGATATGATGACACCATTTCAATATAGTGTTACATATATAGCAAGCAGCATTTAATAAACTTTTCGATTTGATCTTGGCGTTCATATCTGAGCTCCCATATAAACTTAAATAACGAGGTAAACAAAGGCAACTGTTTGGTAAAATGTTTATTTAGTTTATAAGAAATCTTCTGTCTTTGATCAGTTGGCCGAAACGGTACGAAACACTAAAGGAAACGACCATTCTTGAGACTGTGTTGCGATTTGATGATGGTCAGGACAGGTATCGATGCGGACTTGTTAAATTTATGGCTTAAGTTACAAACTGCTCCGCCTATTTTAACCCTAGCATGATACTGTAAAGATATGTTTCATCTCTCCGGTGACAAAAACAAACTTTATGATCTTAGATAGGCAATCTAAAGTGCAAGATCAAAATGAGGGACGATTTCGGTTCCGATAAATTCAAAATTCAAATTTTTCCGACAACATGTGTTTGTTTTTCAAGTTTCGATTTTTTTCGGAAATTCTTAAAGAAATATTTAATTGAATTTTCTTTCTTTTAATACTTACGTACAAAAATGTTGCTCATCAGTGTAGCTGGCAGGCAAAAAACAATAACCAGAATATCAGCGATCGCTAAATTCACAATGAAATAATTGGTGACGGTACGCATGTTACGCATGCGTAAGACTACCGCTATAACAAAGCTATTGCCAATTAAACCAACCAAAAATACGATGACATAAGCGATGCAATAGACAATGGTCATGGTTAACGAGTGGCGATAAAGGAAATCGAAATCAGCTGTTTCCAATTCCCAATAGGCAGATTCGCTGTTGTTGTTGTTGTTATTATTATTATTATTATTATTATTATTATTGTTGTTATTGTTAGAGTATGCACTGGTATAAGTGAGGCCGGCAGATTCACTTAATACGTTATAGTCGGATGTAGAAGTTATTGCGGTGGCAGTGGTCATAACGGAGCTTAGCAATGAATCCATTGCTAGTTCTTTCCTATTACTGGCAGTAGCAGTGGCAGCGACGGCGGACATTGTCGGACTAAATGCGGTACTGTAGACATCAATTGTTACTGTGGAATTTAATTCATTTACATAGCCCGAATAGGGCTGCAATTCTAACTGTAACAAATTATCGGCATAAGTTTCTACCAGATACGACGACGAGGATGAATCATTTATTACGTGATCTTTGAAATCCATAAAATTTTCATTTGAATTCTCCTCGTTGACAGGTTGATTTGTTAAAATCGCTGTCGCTGTTGTTGTTGTTGTAGTTGTTGTTAATGTTGTTGCTGTTGTTGTCGTTCCTGTAGATGCCAATGTT